AATAATGGGGCTTCTTACGGTTCACTCAATAACCACAGGTCGGCTTTATCATTACTTCTGGGAGACTGTGTAGGTTCTAAAGACCAAATAAAAGATTCTTAAAGGGCGCATTCAAGTTAAGACCAGCCCTTCCAAAATATACTGGTACTTGGGACCCAAAAAATTGTCTTAAATCATATTGGAGGTTGGGTTCCCAATGATACACTTTCAATTGAAAAACTCACAAAAAAATTAGCAGTATTAATGGCATTATGCACAGCACACCGAGCTCAAACATTATCTTTAATAAAGATAGACAATATTAAGATATGTTCTTCAGATGTTAGAATCAGCATCACTGATATAATTAAAACGTCTGCAGCGGGACGTCAGCAACCCCTTTTAATTTTACCTTATTTTATTGAAAATAAAAATATTTGTCCAGCCACGGCAATAAAAGATTACTTAGAGATTACAAAAAAAAAATAAGACCCGCAGGTTGTCGGAACTTATTGCTAACCTACAGGCGGCCACACAAGGCGGCCACTGCTCAATCTATCAGTAGGTGGATTAAGAACGTATTAGCGGAGAGCGGCGTGGACGTGACTGTGTAGTGCACACAGCACGCGCCATGCTGTCACCTCGGCTGCTAGGTCCGCTGGAATCTCTCTAGATACGATCAGAAAAACAGCCGGTTGGTCGTCAGCATCAGAGACCTTTGCAAAATTTTATCATCGCCAAATTATTGACGAAAATAAGTTTGCGAGAACTGTCCTCCTAAATAATTAAATTTGAATTTATTAAATAAGATAGAAAAGTTATGTTACGTTAAGTGTATGTTATTTTGTTAAGATTGAACTAATAAATGATATTTGATTTTTTATGATTTTTCTTTTAAAGTTCAAGGTACACATAAGTAACCCAATAAGCAAAACTTTAAGCTCTAAACATCTACGTTGTTAATATTATATCTGAAGAATGAAGCGATGAAATATAATATATGATCAAATGAACTTCTCCAAGTGAAGTTCGATCAGTATTATATGAATCGCTTCATTCGAAGATATAATTTCCCTCCCACCCATAACCCACAAAAAGTTTTGCTTAGAATAATATCTCTAAAAGAATGAGGCTGTACGCTCGGACGGCGAGAGACGTTGGTGGGAGGGGGCAATTGTTTTTGATGTGGGTAGAGTAAAAATCTTTAAAGGTGCGACTTAGCCTTGTAGAATAAGGAAACTACGTTGTTAATATTATATCTTCGAATGAAGCGATTCATATAATACTGATCGAACTTCACTTGGAGAAGTTCGTTTGATCATATATAATAATTTAAAATCGAAAAGGATTTAAATTTTACAACTGTATTTCAGTTATTACATTAAATACCTATGATAAGTTTTAATCATTCACGTCTATGCTCTCTGATGTACAAACAAAAAGATATTTCTTTAATAAATTCACCAAAACTTTGGACGGAACACTAATAATAATAATAATAACTGGATGATTATAACCGGACAAAACACTTAAAATAGTAAAATCTCCATTAGCAAATTACCATTACACTTTTAAGAAAGAAGCCAAAAAGTGTTTTACCGCGTTCATTGTCACTGAACGGGTCTGTTCCCTAAACAGGTTTTATTTTTAGATAATTATGATGACATAATATAGAAGTTGACCTCCCGATTTCGTTCGCGTTAAAAAGTTCGTAAAATTATGTAGTTAATTATCTACATTTGATTAACCGTAAAAGTCAGCAGCATCTTCCTAATAACGATTTAAAATAAATAACTGCGGTTTCCAACTCGTTTGCTAAGCGTGGCAACTATAGTAATATAACTAACTATAATAAGTTTGTGCGAGCCTGGGAACAGACAACTTGTTTAACAATCTTCAAGATAATATTGTAAGACGACTGCTACTGAGGTTAATTAATATGTATCACGTACCAATAGTCAATGTGCATCTATTATCTATCAGGCAACTAGCTTTATTTGCCTTTCAGTTGACAACCTAGTCTTTTACTTTAAAATTTTTACATTTTTTCGCACCGCACTATCTGACGTCACGTTTGACCTTGTGTTTACCTTGCGAGATCACCGCGCAGACCGTTCAATGGCGCAATTCCGCAATTAAATAACTTTGTATTTTTATATGATCATAATAAATTTTTTCATTGTAATCGCGAGTTATTCGCTATACCGCCAAAATTCATGGAGTAAGCCAGTTATCCCAGATTATTTTATCAGCGGTCGCTATATTTAAACAGCAGCTTTCGTATGTTATGTTGATATGTTATGTAGTATATTTTTACAGTTGTGCGTTTATAATATTTGTGATAACTGTAGGGATAATTTTTTAAATAATGAAACGTTAACGAATTATGATCGAAATTTCAAAGAGTGAAAAAGAATACATTCCAAGGCATACATCATATTATAACATCGTCTGTTTTTTTAATTTTCTGTGACACAGAAACAATTTTTCACAGTTCAAACATTCTCAGAAGGTAACCAAATTGGGCTACGTTTCCTTCTTACTCCAGACAATTAAAAAATATTAATATTTATTTACAATAACGCAACATACTTGAATAGATAACATTACTCGATAGACAACTCGTATGAATATTTTTCAGTGTCCGTTGATTGTCCAACCATGCAAATTATATGGACAGCAAATCTTACGTTGCAAACAATTTCAATTAAATTTTAGTTGGGTTACATGTTTATTAATCATTTTTTTACCAAATCTATATCAACAGTATCCAGAATATACAGCATCTGCGCAGGAAGATTATAATGCGCAAGTGCATGCACAAACGAAGTTACACCTATTGTCTCACTTATAAGTCGATGGAACAGTAATCTCACACGACCGGAAAGCCCCTTCTTTTATCCCCTCCATTAAACAGTAAAGTAAAGTTACAGCCTATATACATCCCACTGCACTGCACGGGCCTCACCTCATTTCTGAGAGGGTTTTAGGGCAAGGAAGTGTCCGCCGCGCTGCCTCAATGCGTGTTAGCAAACTTCACACGTCTTCGAAGTATTTTTTTCTTATTCCTCAGACATGCAGGTTTCCTCACGATGTTTTCCTTCACAGCCGAGCACGTGTTAAATCAGCACATAAAATTATAATTAACAATTTCATTGGTGCCGGCCGGGATCAAACCCGGGTGACTCGCGTTCTGTTATATTTACAGCGAGCGTTAACCATCTGAGCTACCAAAGCTGCCGTTAAATAGTATTTCCAATTAATCATTTTTAAAATTACAAAAACTCCCCGATTTTTTACCTTCGACCATTCCGACAACATGTATGATGACTTCATACATGCTTCAGTTGAAAACCTTACCTTAGGCTGGTTAAGGCACGGCGCTCAGTGAAGTCTGCAGGTTGTGAACATGTTCAAGATCGTCCACGCCAATAATTTTGATGTGATCTTTAAAAACATCCTCGCAAAAGAATACCGATTCCTACCAAAGATGATTCACGAGGCTATAGAAATTTATAAAATACATCCTTATTTCAATAGAGAAGATGAATAAGTGTTGCCATTTGCTTGGGATCCTATAATTAATAAAATTAAGTCCAACCCCAAGTTCACCACTGCAATTCATCAAGATACTGTAAGTTCATTCTGCGTAGATCAGACCAAAAATTAATTTTCAAAAACTGAAGGTAACCGTGTTAGTGACTGAATCGTCGGGAATTAAAAGTTTAAATAAAATCCGTAAAATTAGTTTCATTCGGTAGGTGGGCAAAGTTTATTATTTTTTCGATTGCAACATTTGCATCTCGATCACTGAAATATTCCGAAACAATGATAATATGTTTCATTTGGGTCATCAACTCAAAAGATGTAAAATACAGAATGTTACAAATACATTAAGTTGCGTCGCGGACATTTATTACCGACTGAGTCAGTGAAATGTTATGTGGTAATAATACTGAAGGAAATAAGTGCTGAGGTTATTTATTGTGTACCATAATAAGGTTGTATATAAAATCAATCCTCCCTTATACTTTATCCAGGCTTAGGACTTGCGGCTAGTCCTTAATTTATGGCCAGCTGGCGTATATAAAAATCGATTCTATATGCAGTGATTTGTTGATTATATTTACTGTCTTTTTTTATTTTGCTTAAAATTTTAATTTAAATAGAATTAAGTATATTTTTGTAAACAGGCGCGAACGGACATAAACAATTTGACAAGTGCCGCATCAACGTAAAATGACAACTTGTTAATGCAAACATCACATACAAAAACGACCGTATAGATTAGATACGTGAGCGCCTTAGTGGTCATTTTTACTTGCATGAATAACGACAGCGAAAATCCGTACAAGTTGAATGATACACTTCTCATTTATTATCTCTTTCAGACTTATATAGGTTGTAACCATTTCGCCCGCTCACTCGCCACTCGCAAGTCAATAGTTATATTCAGTGTCTCTCTCGCCCACAGCTCAGTCGACACGCAAGCTACGCGTTGCGCGAAATGAGCATAAAAATGACACCTTTTTAAAGGACTATAATTTATAATGATTTATTATATTTATGCGAAAACTATACATTGATTAAAACTACTTTTACTGACTTTATCGCGTTTTAAATGATTTTTAACTCCCAAAATTCGTTTGTATAGAAAAAAGACCCACACAAACCGATATACGGTGAATCTCACTATCATCCTCCACAGTTAGCTACCATGGGCAAATCTTTTTTACAGAGAGCATGAGAGATTTGTGACAGCAAACAACTGGCCGCCGAGCTTCAGCACGTGAAGCAGGTTCTGCACGACAGCAAGCTTCGGGTCCCGCGCCTACGTCTGAGATGTAAGGAATAGATATAAGCATATTACATATAAACATATACACAATGTAACCTAATTGTAACTATTTAAGGATTGATTATTGCAAATATATTCAGTATTTACTCAGCAGTCTTGGCTTTCATTTCTCTCTCGTGCCACAACATTACATGGCGACTCTGCCAGGTGGTGCGCGGCGACAATGCACGCGCACCGCCGCGGCCCGCATAAGTAAGTTAAGAAAAATGGAAAAATTAAAATAAAACTAAAGGAACAATTTTCAACTATTGAATTGACACTACCGGATGTAACAAGTAAGCCGAAACGGACATAAGAAGCGGCGACAAGCTTATTATTTCTTTAAGGAGATATGCTAATAAAATCTATTAGAAAAAGAAGAAAAATGTTACGGAAAAAACGGGAAAGATCAACTTCAGAAACAAATATTATGACAGCTTCAAATATTACATGAAGATTAAACGAATTAGATGGTGAGACCGCAAATTTAAGAAAAATAGAAGAAACTTAAGTCCGCAAGCCTCAGCCGATAAGAAAATGGAAAAATTGAGCCGAAAAGAACAAATTATGAGGTAACTTCGCACCTATGTGATTTTAATTCTATTTCAAACTTTATTTAACAATTTAAGATTGTTTTTTTTTTTGCTATTATGTTTTTACAGTTAAATACTAAATATTTTGTATTTTACATATAATTAAGTTGAAATTATTTATCAGATTATTCACAATATACTTTATTATAAATATTTTTTACCTAAAAAAAAAAACAGTTATAATACAATATTAAAAATTAAGTTGAATTTTAAGCACTTATGTGGCACTTCTATTAAGGCGCAAGACCACTTTATATCCCCTTTTACGTAGTTATAGTTTTGTATTTTTTTTTTACTGTGTCCTGCCAAACAATTAATGAAATGATAAAATAATAGATTTCAATTTTACGCACTTGAATTAAATTAACACTCTGATACATTTCGTTGATTTTCTTTCGAATCCTAATTTTAAAGGGTTAGAAACATTTCACTATCATTATAAGTTTCAATTTTTTTAAGTCATTAAATCGTAAATTTATATAATAACTTATGTAAAATATAAAAAAAAAACTTTCTTTTAAATGTTTAAATAAATTAATGTATCGTTGTGTAAAGTTGATAACACTTATAATGTGATTTTGAACTATTCTGTAAACACGACATAATAAATAACATACTTTCAGTAATATTTTTCGATCTACATAAAATTGATATAGCTTTTAACGATGTAACCATGTGGACTTCTGAATAAATAAGAAATTAAAAATATCGGTTTAAGGTACATTTTTTTACTCGCACTCATTTATATGAGTACTTATGTAGTAACAAATTGTACACGTTATGTTGACATTAGGCACGATCATACGATGCCATTATTTTTAACGTTTATTATCAATTCTATTTTTCATATTTTCTGGCTAAAATAACACTTTTTATTTTTTTTTGAAAGACAAGAAACTAGTTAGGTAGGTAAATATAACAAGAGTCAATCTTTACACAGTGAATATAAAAGGTCTGCTAACCATTTCTTACGAATGATACTGATGTTTCTAAAAATATGATATTATAAAATGTTATGCAATGAGCGTATCTTATTAAAACATAGTAACATAGATGATAAATTTAAACTGAACACAGCAACATGCAACACATGAACAGATACAGGATAAATCACAACAACATTGTAATAGCGATAAAAATAATAAGTATAGGAAAATAAATGAGTAAATGATAATAGTATTGTTATATAGATGAAAATAATAAATAAATAACAGTATAAACAGTTTTCCGTACTGGAACAGATTATTTTTTTATTTATTATTTTTTTGTTTCCCTTTTTTTTCGTATATAATAATAAGTACAAGGCAACACTCAGCAGGGTACGGTGCCTACAGCTCGACGCTCTTTGATTACTAACCTTAATGTACCTATAGAGCAATCTCGATCTAAAAGTAATGGTAATAAGGTTAGAACTTGTTTACATTGCAACGGTCAACATATATTAAGTAAATGTTCACAGTTTCTAAATCTTTCTCCACAAGATATGTAGATATTCATTCGTACAAAATAAAAACATCTGTTTTAATTGCTTACACGTTGGACACGACGTTCAGAATTGTAAATCAAATTTCGTGTGCCGCTCGTGTTATAAACGACATATGACGATTTAATTTTAAAGTTCAAGTTACCACTCATAAATGCACCAAGAGGTCTATTCTTTCTGAGATCGCAAAAATATATGACCCTCTCGGGCTACTATCACCGGTAACCGTGTATGCCAAGCACTTGATTCAGCTATTGTGGATGGCAAAGGTAGACTGGGACGATAAACCGCCCCTTGATATCATTAATTCATGGATACGTTTCATAAACGAGTTACCGCTGCTATCACAGGTATCGTTTCCGCGATGCATTTTCAGTAATAATATCGATTCGGTAGAAATTCATGGACTTGCTGACGCGTCCCAGATCGCATATGCTGGCTGTGTCTATATTCGACTTACAACCAAGGATGGCAATATTTATTCTAACCTGATTATGGCGAAAACTACGGTAGCTGCGCTCCGCGTACCTCTTACCATCCCACGTCTCGAGCTAATGGCAGCTCTATTGCTTTCAAGGCTAGTAGATAAGGTAGCAAATTTATACAGAGATCGTGTCTGCCGCGAACAGATTTACGCATGGTCCGACGCCTCCATCGTGCTGGCCTGGCTTCGTTCATCACCGCATGAATGGAAGACGTTTGTTTCCAATCGCACTAGCGATATTCTATCCCGCGTTCCCGCCGGTTGCTGGCACCATGTCCCGTCAGCCGATAATCCTGCTGACGCTGCATCACGTGGCTTGCTACCTATCGCGCTAGTACAGCATGACTTGTGGTACCATGGTCCCGCATGGCTCCGACGAAGTCCCAACTACTGGCCTGTTGAGAATCAAACTATGAGCACCTGTGAAGAAAAACGTAACTTAACACTATCTTTTGGTATGTCTACGGTACCGTCGGTACAAAATGCCGAAATTATAATGCGATTTTCGTCGTTAGGCAAACTCGTTCGGATTACCGCACTAATATTTCGTTTTTATAATAAATGCAAAAGGGTTAAAATTTCGTTCCCGGGTTACGTTACAGTACCTGAATATAATTTTTCATTAAATCGATTAATTTACCTTACTCAACAATCGGTCCTTCAAGACGATATTTTAAAGATATCTCAAGGAAAATTACCTTCTAATCAATTGCGACGTCTTACACCCTTTTTGGATAGTGACAAACTGTTACGTGTAGGAGGTCGAATTCATTAATCATTATTACCATTTGAATCTAAACATCAAATAATTTTACCGAAAAAACATGCTTTGACTAATTTAATTATCGACGACGCTCACATAAATCATCTGAACGCAGGACCTCAGTCCGTGCAATACTTGCTGTTGCAGCGCTATTGGATATTTTCATGCCGCGACATCGTGCGCCAACGCATACATCGCTGTGTCCGTTGTTTTCGTGCTCGTCCAACGCGTGATCAACCGATTATGGGACCACTACCAGCTTCGAGAATACGTCCGGCACGTCCTTTCCTTAAAACGGCCGTAGATTATGCCGGTCCATTTTTTGTTCGTGCAAATAAAGTAAGTAAAGCGAAAATAGTGAAGTGCTATGTTTCGGTATTCGTATGTATGAGCGTAAAGGCCGTATATCTCGAAATCGTTTCGGAGCTTTCCACTGATGCTTTTTTAGCAGCTCTGCGACGCTTCATGTCCCGTCGAGGATTATGTACGGATATATATTCGGACTGCGGAAAGAATTTTGTCGGTTGTAACAATTATCTTAAAGACCTATACGCGTTCAAAATACAATTAATCAACAAACCCTGCAACAGGGATTTACGTGGCACTTTCAACCTCCGTATGCTAGCCATTTTGGAGGTCTCTTCGAAGCCAGTGTTAAAAGTTTCAAACACCACCTACATCGTGTGGTTGGAACTCGTACTCAAACTTACGACGAGATGCATACTCTTCTCTGTCAAATCGAAGCCGTGTTAAACTCTCGTCCCCTTTGCGCCATGAGTTCGGCTTCTACCGATCCCCTCCCCTTAACACCGTCTCATTTTTTAATAGGAGAACCCTTAACAGCTCTACCTGATGTATCTTTGTTGGATGAAAATCCTAACCGTCTCACTCGTTGGCGCTGGATACAACAGTCGGTCCAGCACTTTTGGAAAAGATGGAGTAGAGAATATCTCCATCACTTACAACAAAGTAGTAAGTGGCTTCATGATCGCGGCTCCGCCATTCGTAAAGGCACTGTTGTTGTGGTATGTGACGAGCACCTTCCGCCATTACAATGGAAGCTCGCGCGTGTACATGCTGTTCATCCTGGCTCCGATCAAGTCACTCGTGTAGTGACCTTAAGGGCTGGGAATACTATTTTTAACCGGCCTGTAGCAAAGGTTTGCCCACTTCCGTTAGAGTAATGCGTTATACTTACAACCTTAATCTTAGTACTTAAGTTATTTTTTTTCTTTCGATTTATACTATAAGTTAGTGATTTTTTAAAAGAAATTACTTCTTTTAAGGTGAGCGGCATGTTCCGTACTGGAACAGATTATTTGTGTACTATGTTTTTTTGTTTCCCTTTTTTTTCGTATATAATAATAAGTACAAGGCAACACAATTTCGAAGATAGTATTTTTTCTATACTTCTATTAAATTCATTGGGTTGGCGATCAACTGTTTTCATTCTGAATGCGGCCATAATCTTGCGGGTTACGGCTCTCTGTGCGACACAAGCGCCATATCGATTGGCGGCAATTGTAGACAGTCGAATTGAAACTACCGACGCGCACGCATACAAATATACTTCGTGTCTCTCAAGCTCATCCCTCAAGATCTCTTTCACCCTGAAAGTGTTGTGCTTGTGCCCTATGGACTCGTGTGCGATACACTCTGCTGAACCTAGATACTACGATCATTGCAAAGACTGCCCCGAGCTCCTATAGCCAGCTCCTGGATTCGTGGTTGCAGGGAGATTGTAGCGGTAAGTCGCCAAACCCAGCACCACCCAGTAGAATATCGTACAAACAGAAATAAAGTAATTAAGAGAGGTTTTAATAATAATGCTTCAAAAAAAAAGTTAAACACCGACAAAGAAAATTTATTGATAGGAATGTTCTCTCATTTGTACAAAAAAAAATTGGAAAGCATGTAATTGGTATGAGGAATCTAAGAAAGGAATGTTCGAACGTGTAAATACGAATGATTTAGTTACTAAGTTTTGTCAATATTGGACTGATCACCCAAATATTGATGATGCTTAAACTGTGCGATTTGAAATGAGTGAGAATGGTGCAGGTAAGTATATGCAAGTGGAGCATGAAAGTATATAAATAAAGAACAAGGTAATAAAGAAATAAAGAAGGAATAAATATTTATAGCAATAATAAAAACAGAAGAAAATATGATATTGACCAATAAATAATGGAGAGATATGGGAACGTCCATCACTGGTAAAGCATATAGTCCTCAGGCAGGGTATGCTTCCGTGATAGGATGAAAAAATAAGGAGTTACGGGTACTAGGGAACAACGCCTTCAGTACAAGTGATGTACATGAGTTTACTGATATTAGAGACCAGAGAAGTCTTAAATTTGTTACCCTTAATAATGGTACATTGAGGTCACATCCTTCGTTGGATCGTCTAAGGAGACTAACCTTATTATATAAGCGAAAATAAAATAAATTGTTAGTACAATTTTTTATTTTTTTTTTATTGCGGTGGAGATGAGATGTAAGGAATAGATATAAGCATATTACATATAAACATATACACAATGTAACCTAATTGTAACTATTTAAGGATTGATTATTGCAAATATATTCAGTATTTACTCAGCAGTCTTGGTTTTCATTTCTCTCTCGTGCCACAATATTACAGTCACAGTGACCGCGTGAAGCCGGCCACAGTCGAGCGCGTGCCTGCTGTACTACCATATGTCAGAGGTGTCACAGACAAGATTGGCTACATCTTGAAGCGTCCTTTAATTAGTCAGTTCTTACCATTTGTTAAACGTCACATTCCTCTACAGGATACAGGAGTGTGCAAGCTTGATTGTGAATGTGGTCTCCAATACTAGGGCAAACAAAAATATCTATTAAAACCAGCGTAAAAGAAATTATAGCTGACGTGAAGCATCAACGATCTTGGAATTCCGATAATTCCTTTCTTGATTGGGAGAAAAATTGTTTTTATGATTTTGTTTTTCTATTTGGTATGTATTTAATGGGGAGGCCTTAGCAGCTGTAACACAGGTATGTGACCTAGCACGGCTGCTAAAGATAACTTAATATAGTATTGAGTTAGATTTACGTCTTGTCAATGTAATTTTATAAGTTTTTTTTTGAATGTAAATTATGTTTGGATTCAATAAATATTATTACTATATATATATATATATATATATATATATATATATATATATATATATATATATATCGATATTTAAACGGTGAATCTCACCACCATCCTTCACAGTTAGCTACCGTGGGCAAATCTTTGTTACAAAGAGCACGAGGGATCTGTGACAGCAAACACCTGGCCGCCAAGCTTCAGCACGTCAAGAAGGTTTTGCACGATAACAAGCTTCGGGTCCCGCGCCTACGTCACAGTGATCGTTCGGCCATAGTTGGGCGTGTGCCTGCTGTACAAACATATGTCAGAGGTGATCTTCTATTAGAATATTCTGCAAGCCGCCGAAGATTAGTCAGTTCTTACCATCTGTCAACTGTCATATTCCTCTACAGGATGCAGGAGTGAACAAGCTTGATTTTGAATGTGATCTCTCATTTAAAGGGTGAACAAAAAGATCTATTAAGACCCGCGTAAAAGAATATATAACTGACGTGAAGCATTAACGTTCCGGGAAGTCTGCAGTTTGTGATCATATCCTAGGCAGCCCCAATCATTACATCAGATTTGATAGACCACAAATCTCATCAAAAGAACATCGATTCCTACCAAGGATGATACGTGAGGCTATTGAAATTAAAAAAAAAACATACTAATTTGAATAGAGAAGGAAGCTGAGTACTACAACATGCTTGGGACCCTGTAATTAATAAAATTAAAAATAAACCCAAGCATACCAGTGCAAGACTTCAAGACAGAGTAAGTTCATTCTGCATAGATCGGACCATAAACAATAATAAAAAAGCTGAAGGTAGTTAGTCACTTCAAACCCCCGTAACCATGGGATGCGTAAACATGGTTTCCAGGAAAGCACCCGAAACGTCGGAATTTAAAAATCATTTAAAATTAATCGTGATAAAATCTGTAAAAGTAGTTTTAATCAACTATAGTTCATAAATGACATTTTCAATATTAACTGACATGGTATAATGTTATTGTCTAATTTTCTTTACTTTATAATAATTATATTAATTATTTTAATACACTTTCGACATCTTCATTAATTGGGAAATGGGATAGATTGTTTGTTGTTCCTGATTTAACGATTTGATAGTAATTGATTTTGATATGTTAAAGATAAAGATATATTTATTATATAAGTGTGTACAATATGACATTAATACAAAAACAATTAGTTTTAGGCTCAACAATCTACCCATATTGGATATGCAACAAGAATGAAAATAAATTAAAATGTACTACTTACTAAAATTACTTTTATTAAAAACCAATTCTTTAATTTTGTTTTAACTGTATTTCTATTTAATTGTTTAAGTTTTTTATAAAACAAAAATATCCAAGAATAAATAAATTTTCTCATTTCCATTAGGAACTTAGTATGTAATACATAGTATTCAATAGCATCTCACACAACTATAAGGCATATAAATAAATAAATAAAGCGGCGGAAAAGTTACAGCCTATATACGTCCTACGGCTGCGCACAGGCCTCCCCTCATTTCTGAGAGGGATTTAGGGCAAGGAAGTGTCCGCTGCCCCGATGCGTGTTGGCGAACTTCACATGTCTTCGAAATATATTTTTTCTTATCCTCAGACATGCAGGTTTCCTCACGATGTTTTCCTTCAACGCCGAGCACGTGGTAAATCAGCACTTAAAATTGCAATTAACAATTTCATTGGTGCCGGCGGGGATAAAACCCAGGTTACTCGCTTTCTTATAAAATTTACAGCGAGCGTTAACCATCTGAGCTACCACGGCTCTAAAAAAAGCCGCGTATATTTATATAATATATCACCTAATTAGCATTAACATTAACAGTGGCCTAATGGCGGGAAGCGGACTGCGAACAAAAAGGTCGTGGGTTCGAATCCACCATTCGACTACTGGCGTGAACCACCCGTAATACAAGTAATTTAAGCTTACCACTAGTGGTTAAGGGGAATATTAGTAATGTTTATAGCATTGTTAATATTATTTAAAAAAAATGAAATGTTGTATTAGACGCATCGGCTGAAACGCATGGACTGTATATCATTCAGACTGCTGGTTAAACGGTGCCGTTTACAAAAAGACCCTATATATAAATAAGGCATTCCATCTTAGTTCTCAGGGGTGATAACGCATGTATATTTTGATTCCTAATAGTGGTTACATTGGTTAACCCTACATTATAAAAAAGCCTAAGCTGTTAACTGAAAGGCTATTTAAGATAGTTGGCCGTGATATACATACTACTGACGGTCAACACTTATCCTTTATATCACTTAAGAATTAAGTGAGTGCCTCATATTTATCATATCGCTCTTCAGAAACGCACGTTTAAATTGCTTACATATAATTATCAGTGACTATATCGTTAAGGTTTTGTGTTTTGTGATTAACAGTGAACTGGAAAGTTTTAACTTAAAGTAGTAAGGTAAATAATAATTACGTAATAATTTTGAATTTTATGAAAAATATAATTAATAAATTGATTTTAATATCTTGAATTACCAAAATATAGCAAATGCTGTATTTTAAGTAAATATACATAAAAATAGGCCTTTAACTCAACATGAATCTAGATTGTTTCTAATGTTTTTTTTTTTAATTTATTTAAATCAAGTTGGGATAATATAATAATAAGACCTTATTGTTCATATGGATATCGACCCTATGGAATATATTCAGCAGTGTACTTGTAAAGTGCTGTGATGATGACGATGATGATATCAACCACAAATGATTTCAGTTAAAATATTTTAAACTTTAATCGAATATTAAGTTTGTGACATTTACGGAATTGTATGATGAGGTCATAATTTAGTTTTGAACCGATCTCAAAAGCAAGGAGTTTCAGTATTCGACGCATTACCATATAATTATGTTCATGATTCCTCGGAATCGGTTGAACTTGATAATCAACAGAACATACATTTTTCGATTATTATTTAAAATATTTTTACTCTAGGATTAAAATAAAAAGTTTTACCTATTTAAAATAATATGATGAAATATCATAATTATAATATATACTACACAAAAGAAAGATATGGATTTTTAGATGAAAAGATTTCAATGTTAACTTCTTTAACTTAAAAATACTATTGTTAAATATATCTATTTCGAAGGACAGAAAGTCATATCGACGTTGAATTCTGTTCAACGTTGAGTTATAGCCTATAAATGCTCTTGGGTGATTCCTAACTAACAAAAGGTGAATATTTTTTGGTCTTGATTTAATCTAAATTTCAAATAATTCTGGGCAATCATCTTTCCTAGCGACTAGTTTAAACAGAAAGACAAGATCGATTAAGTCCCTGCCTTCTTTTAGGCTATTTAATTATATAAAATGTAACCATTCTTTTTTATCAAATAGGGGTGGTCCCATAAGTTTTTTTTAAATTACCATTATAAGTCCCCTCTACTACCGGTGTTAAGATATATTGTAACGTAGAATTAATGACAAGATTTCAGAAGCTATTACCATGAAACAGAAATACGCTGCTAGAAATTAAAAAATAAAAGTCTTTTTTTATTTTTTAATAACAAAACTTAAGTAATTTAATCCCAATATGATTGTAACAGAAATTTAAAGGAAAGGAAAATATTGTTTAACCAAACTTATAGCACAATTTATTGATAGAAGGTTTTTATTCAGTACAATTTAACTCCATCCCTATTACACATGCGGAGATTCTCCTAGGCATGCTGGAGATCAAGTTATTCAGCATTTATTGAGGTAACATGTCCCATTATTGAAAAGTGGTTTCCCTGATCTCTGGTACTGTCTAGGAAGGTGGCTGATGGTTCCAAACAGCTCGCTTAAGTCAGGCTAGCCGGAAGGCCATTTTAACCTTATGATGTCGTATTCTCGGAGAGCAGCATTGAGTCGTTCAGATCGATGTGCGGGCGCACTATCATCGACCAGTACAAATTGGTGCCCAGGGTTTACTCGGAATGGTCTGACTAATTCATTAATAGCTGTTTTGTACCTATTTGCCGTTATGGAGCCTCGATACAGGATCTTTGATTTCCCGCCTTGCTGAACGGTTCCAGTGGCAGTTCTTTGTCTATCACTCTCCAGGTCTTTTCCAGATACGGAGACGTCAATTATCTAGATGAGTATTGATTCGCGATTCGTCAACGAAGCGACAGTTTTACCAAATGTTTTTCTCTCTTAATCTTCTTCATTTTGCCGAAGAGTAGCCCACTACAATCTCTGTCGCTGAAGTTGCCGTTAATTCAGAGGTGCTTGTCAAGACCTTCGTGCTCGTAGTCCAGACTGGTGTAAGCAATTCGGAATGGTCTGAATGTTTTCTTCAAGTACAAAGGCGGCCAGCAATTTCTGCTTTAATTGTAGTGGCGTTGACTTTTGGGTCATGTCCTGCTAGCATTCTGAACAGCTGTCAGAACAGTGGAGCGAGCACTGCGGGGTTGGTCAGCTAAATAATCTATGCCATGGTACCTCTGCAACATGACCACGATACGGGATTAGAATACAACAACTCTCTGCTTGTTATTTCGCTCGTGGAATATCCTTCCTCCCTCGAAGTTAAATTCTTGCTCGTAACAGCTTTCCTCGAAAAATATTTTAAATCCATTAAAATTGTAAGTCAGATTTCTGAATGAGCGTAAGCTTGGATTTAATTTGTTTTTATCATTGACTTATATATTGCTAGCTGAATAAATATTTGAATTTGTTTTATGAAATGTTAACGTAAATGTTGTTAACGAAAAATAATATTTAAGTTCAAATCGCTAGTAGCGTAACTGCTCGCTAGGTCGTTAAGTAATAAAAAATGTTAACAAAACAATTAAACCGCCAAAAAAATTGAAAAGCAAAAAATAATAAATATTTTGCTCTTACCTTATTAACTAAGTTCTTAAACTAACGTAAGTGTACCTATGTATACATTTTTGTAATTATTTAGAGTTTTTAATTAACCTTAATAACTAAATTCTTAAACTAATGTAAATATTATTAAATAAAACTCGTGTAGTGGCTTGGAAAATACTAACTCTTTAATTTGAATAACAGTAAGTTTCAATAGCATAGTTGCGCTATAGACATGGTATTATTTTTATATAACCGTAGATTACAAATAACACTCCTCTTATAAAAATAATGACAACCCAAAGATACACACATATTCCAAATAAAAGTTTTCCAGAAACTACTTACTTATTTTATTTTTGACAACCCTACCTTATCCATAAAAAAATGTTTTACACGACAAAGGCTTTTTGTTAACATATCCGCTGGCATCTCAGCAGTAGATAAGTAGGGTATTTGTATTAAATTATTTGCTAAACACTCCCTAACAAAATGATGCCTAACATTAATGTGTTTTGTCCTTCTGTGGAACAAATGATTAGATGCCAACGTCTGTGAACTTTGGTTATCACTTAGTAAAATAACTAGCATATTATCAATCGCCATTTTTGCCTTTGCTCGTGTGGCGCGTATTTTTTGATGTGTATTTTTCGCAACAAGTGCGCTCCCCGATTTAGTGATTTCGACATCTGAACTCATATCCAATATTTTCGCCTTATTAGCGTCTGCACTAATGTTTATACCGGAGTGTTCTATCGCCATAATTCATTTGGTGAGAAATTTTCTGGTAACCCTGCCCACAAAAACGAGCCAATGCACTCGTTATTATTCTCGAAACCTATATACCTTTTAACTATTGTGCTGTATCCACTAACTGTGTCATGTACGCTGTCATCGAGTCACAATTTTAGAGACGAATGGAGATTAAATTTCTGAGTAGACTGATGACTCATCTTATCTTCGCGGACGTCAACAGTCTTTCCACGTGGAGCAAATAACTTCACAGTGGGTTGACTCGACTTCTGGCGTACCGCAAGGCGGAATACTTTTTTCATTAATATTCTTTATTTTTATTAATTCCATCAAATCCAATATTGATTGTATGCTGATGACCTACAAATTTATGTACAATCTGACATTTGCGACATCTATAATGCGATTAACAAATTAAATTCCAATCTCAAGTCAGTCTGTGATTGGTCCATGCACTTTGGAGTGTCTGTCAACCCTACGAAATGCCAAGCGGTGATTATGGGTAGCTCAAGGATGCTTGCAAAGATTGATGCCGCTAGCCTACCTCCCGTCTATTATAATGATCGCCTGATACCGTTCTCTTCCCCAGTTTAAAATCTTGGTCTCCATATTGATAGTAGGTACACTGTCCTGTCCATGGGAGCTATCTCCGAAACATGTCGTAAAGTCTCTGGTTCTTTACGTTCTCCTTATTGCTTGAAAAATTTTCTCCCCTTTAAGACTAAAATTATGCTTGAACAGTTATTCATACTACCGATAATTGATTATTCAGACGTGTGTTACCCGGGTTTAAACCAAAGTCTTCTTAACAAGCTAGAGCGCCTTCTCAACAATCTGATGCATTTTCAATCTACGTAAATTTGATCATATCTCACTATCGCTCTCGCCTTAAATGGCTAACTATTAAACAGAGGTGTGACTCTAGAATTTTTGCTTCTTCTCTTCTCTAACTTAAATGATCCATCCACTCCTTATCTCAAAGAGAAATTTTAGTATATTTCCTTAACGCATGATAGAACTCTGCGTTTCTCATACAATAATAAATTAAGTATCCCACTATATTTTACTAATTTTGTTGGTAAGTCCTTCACCATTCAGGCTGTACTGCTCTGGAACTCCTTGCCTGATGACGTCAGAAAAATATCTAATAAGACTGCCTTTAAAAGATTGGTACATAAGCACTTTATGAAGATATTAGATGATAGTTAATATGATCAATTTGGTTACCTTTGTTGTTATTTTATTTATGGGTTTATGTCATATTCTATATAGGTTTATGTTATATCTATTTGTATATAAGGCGGGTAGAACCAGAGTCTTCAAATAACGCCTTCAACTTTGTTCACAAGCTGTGCAGCAGCAGTGATCATCACCATTTTTGTTGTTCCTTTAGCCTTCCTGTTATCTTGCTCACCTAACGCGTCGCTGTTCCGGATATAGATTCCCTCCAGTATTAGGAAATATTCAGCGGTGAATGTCCAATATGTAATATCCCTTAGGGATATTCATTGAATAATTTCCTACGATTATTGTGCAAACAAAAACTATACGTAAACTTACTTTTACTTTAACGGGACTGGTCCCATAACCTATTAAATAAAACTCGTGAAGCGGCTTGGAACGTACTAACTCTTTTATTTGAATAACAGTAGGTTTCAACCACATATTTGCGCTATAAACAAGGTAATTTTTTATAAAATTATAGATTAAAAATAACAAGTATACCTAGTAATTTCGAGTCGGCGCCAAACAAGAAAATTTGTTAATTACGTAAAGCTTAATGAGCCAGGCGACACGCCCGTTCGCCGGAAAATGGCGAGCTTTAAGGAAGTTAATGTCAGCGAGAC